GAGAATATTTATAAGTGTAATTTAAATTTATCGTGACATATTTTTACACAACTATTTATGTATAAAAACATGGTATTTATATGCTACATGTAGATCAAAATAAAATGTGTTATCGGAATGAATTGGCCAATACTCCAGGATTCCAATACAATTTGAAACATTGTTAATTCATAATTTCTCAATCCAGCTCCATTCCATAGAATATCCGTTTACTTATTTTTATCATTTTTGGTTGATTTAATATCAATATTATTCATTGATTGCCAAGCAAGCAAAATACTTCTGATTTCGGCAATGAGACATTTGCCATTTTGCTATATAAATGTTAATTTCTTGTTAATGTGGAAAAAACCTACCCAATAAAATGAACTTGCATCGAATTCGGTTGAGAAATTGAAAATTCATGATATTCAAATTTAATACTCCTATTGGCCAGTTCATGAGCAGTTATCTTGATTCCTTTTCACAACTTTTTTTTGTACAGTTTATCGACTTACTTGACTGCTGACAGTGCTGACTTGCTGTTGAGTTTATATCTTATAATACGTGCAAGTTGAAATAAAACTTATCATTTATTTTTTTGTCTCATTCCTATCCTAACATTAGGAACCTTCATTCATTCTGGAAGATTCTGCTTCTACCATAAAAATAGAAAACCATGGGGTAAACAAACAAATCACAAAATATACATATAATTATAAATAATATGCTCTGGAAATAGCATCTATATCGAGTGGTCAAAAATCCCCGGAATGAGGAATTCAGAGGACACCAGCTTAATCCAGCGTTTAGTTGAAACCCAGGTAGCACAAGTACACTCATCTTCAGAGATCATATACAGGGTGTTTCATAATTGAATGTCAATATATTCGAGGAGGCGATTCTTAGGCCCATTCTAAGAAGAAAGTTTTATTGAACATATGACCTAAACGTCCTAAACTTTTGAGATACAGGGTGGTAATGGTAAAGTTCTCAAAAGTTCATAAACTATGAATTGTATTTCTGAAATTTGATCTAAGAAGTAAAATCTATTTCTCTGCATTGTGATATGTCATTAACGATATTGCTATAATTATGTAGTGAAAAGCTTTTTATTTTTTCAAGCGATCAGATTGAAAAAATTGTGGCGATCAAATTTGCTCAGAAATGATTGGGAATTTCAGGAATGATTTCAATTTCGAGATTGACCAGTGGCGTACCATCAATGTCTGCCAAAATAGGTATGTGAAATTCCATACGAACGCCAATGGTGGCAACCAAAAAAATGTGGTGCACTAACTAATATGCCTCTTGATACATAGTACATGTCACTGCTGCAATAAGAGCGCTAACTCCGTCCAGCCGGGACATGTTTTCTGAAGACGAGTGTACAGTGTTTTCAGTTTTCGATGCTTTTGCGAGATATATCTCAGTTATCTTTGGAGATAGAGTGATGCGGTTTTCACATTACTGCCTTACTTTTTTGTGAAACGATTAATGCCACAAACATAATTTTCCAAATCCTTCCATGTTTTGGAGATACACAGGCCAAAAATACCGATCCTGCTCCTTTTCGCATTTACACCCGCGTCTCCAATCCATCACAACTTTCCTTAGCAACAAGAAATTCGACATACAAAATACATATCACTCGCTCTCATCCACATTTTGAGGCGGGATACCAAAGTGTAGGCATAAAACAATATTGAAAATTGAATATATAAGCGATGACGTAATAGTTATTTATGTAATAAGGATCATAAAGACGATCATTATGGTACAAGTCGTGAATGTTATCGGGCGAGGCGTAGCCGAGTCCGATAACACGGCGTGTGCCATAATGATTGTTTATGATTCGTATTACATACAAAATTTTATCTGATGGCATTTATATCAATACATTTTCGAAAAATTAAAAACTGCATTTTCGACATGTCACAATGACAACTATTTTTAAAGGAGTAAGTATTGTGTAGTTTCAAATATTAGTAGGTGAGTGAGCTGTGCTTTGCCATTATATTAATATTACAAATTGTAGTAATTGTTCTTTTACCATTTATAATAAATAGTTTTGTACATAGTTATGCATTTTGAATAAACTTTTTTGATCAAACCATTACATGTTTTCCTTATAGAATTTCATTATGGTACTTAGTACCATAATGAATTCATTTATAATAAATAGTTTTGTACATAGTTATGCATTTTGAATAAACTTTTTTGATCAAACCATTACATGTTTTCCTTTTAGAATTTCATTATGGTACTTAGTACCATAATGAATTCATTATGGTACTTAGTCCCATAATGGATTCATTATGGTACTTAGTCCCATAATGAGCTTCCTTATGTCATCAAAATTGAGTGACATAACGTTGTCATTATGACATGCCATCAGATAAAATATAATTATGAGTACAGTTAAACATCAATGATGGAGTGGTATATAGTAAAAGCAGCTGTTTTTTGATTTGGGATTTTCTATAGTGATAGGTATTTATTATGATGTAGAAAAGGTGTAGGCAACACAACAAAAATACATGAAACATCGGAAGAAGCAACATTAGAACATGAAATCTTATCAGATAATAACGTCCGCAGTTTCAGAATGCTGTTCTGTTCTTACATTTATGGGGTTCAGCACCCAAACATATACATACTAATGCTCTTAGATTCCATCCAGCGAAGATAGCCATTTGCCTAGTGGGTGATGCCACACTTACTAACTCTTTGACCTCATTAGGACACCGTGGAAAAGTCGGCTACCTTTCACTTTTCTATAGATACTTGCTCGGGAAATATTCCTCAGAATTCTGTGCTATGATTCCATCAGTAGCAATGATACCAGTCAGACGAATTCGACAGGCCCAGTCAGCGCATCATTTCGTTCTCAACCTTGAAATATATGTCGAACAACACCTCACCAAAACTCGTCTATAGAATGGCAGAGCTTTGGATTTTTTTTGCCAATGGAAGTATTCCCAATAACGTATATAGGTATATTCTCCAAATTTTCAGAAAAAATTCCAACATCTACCTCCTCTCCCTATCCTCCCTAAGTACGCATGATGTTTATCAAACACTATAGGAATTTCTTTACGTACGATCCAAGAGATAGGTACAAAAAAATGTATTTAATAATCTCTTTTGATTCTGCTGTTGGGCCGTATCCGTATTAATCCTAATTGAAAACAAATCAGTTGTTTGTTAGTCGCATTATTGACATACGATTCTAAAGACGTTTGTGTCTACTAATGGAATATTATTAACAATAACAAATAATAATAATGGGGTCACCTTGACAGAAGCCCCTCAGCAAATGTTCGAAATTGTTCAATATTGTAATAATCCGAGATAACTGATTTAAAATTTTGATTATATAATGAAGACTTTTTGTATTCTTGGTTTTTGAACTTTGAACAAGACTCTTATAATCCAATCATACTCGAAACAAACAATATTGGTTCATTGGTTATTTATACAGGCTTCTTGAATGAAAGAAAACAATGTAATAAGACTGTTTTAGATCCTGTATAATAAGTAAGAAACATCCTTGAAGCAGTATTAATTTTATTACCTCTACTTAGTACATAGGTATTCAATATAATATTTACCTATCCTGTTGAAAATATGGAAATATTTTGAAACCACCTAATTAATAAATGAAATGCGATCTTAATTTATTTTTTGAAGAGTCAATATATGTATATACAAGCACTTAATCTCAGTTCAATAAGTGTATGGCAAAATTCAAGGTCCGCAATATATCGGTGTTTATAAATAAGTCAAAAAACGAAAATCTGATAAGCAGAGTATATCTTGAAAAAAATTGAGCAAGATTGCACAAGAAGGATAATCTCGAATCTTTATGGTTAAATTTATCTCTATAACTAAATTGACCATGATGAAACCGTTATTTTAAAATCTTATTGCTATATATAAATTCACGATTCAATAAAAAACATTACATGGAAATTGATGAAATAAACTGCTCAAATGAAGGAACACACATATTTCGGCACTAATAGTTATTTATTATACGCTACGCGTCGGGAGACAACGACACAACCTGGAGCTAAAATCTAATATTTTTCCCGTGTATAATACACTATTCTTCTCTGTGACAGAAGAAAGGTCGAACCAATATTGAGAAGATATTACATTATTTTGAAATCTGAAAATTATCGACGTGAAATGTCAAGTTTTTAACAGTAGGTACACCTGTGTTGTAGGCATCTTTATCATTCTTTTGAAGTAATCAAATATCTGATGTCACCTCAGTCTAATACTGTGATCAGATTTAAAAAAATTGCGAATTTAGTGGTTGTTTAGTAATTTACGTAACCGCGAAGTCAAATGGAAGATGAAAGGACTTGCAGTTCTTTCTCGGAGACGGTATTATTGACTCATTTTTCGGAACTATAGCACAACATAAGGCATCAACAGTGTTATCATTACGTGATATATATCCGGGACGAAAGTACTCACTTTTTTCCCACGGGAAAAAAATAATTTATGAAAAGTGACAACAGAGATGAAATGCCAAACTTTTTTCCCGTCACAGAAAAAAAATATTTCTCACAGTAGGAGTAATACATTTGTTTGAAACTAAGTTAGACATGAGAAATGCGTTACTTTTCATAGCAGTAGTAGAAAAATATATATTCCTACTTCCTGTGGTTTAGCTACAGGTTATTAGCATTTTTGATTTGAAATTTCTAAATTTTCTTTCAAACCAAGTGTTGAAGAAGTATAAAATGAAGCGAATTTTACCCCAATTTTAATCTCATACTCGTGAAATTGTGGAACTAGGTAAATGACTAGTCTAAAGACTACGTTATGGTCACCTTTATCGTGTGTAGCAGCGTACTAGAACTTTTCCTATGATATCGCTGATAAGAAAATCAACTTAGTAGTCGTACGTACTTTGGTTCACGTGACCCAACGATGCTTGCGCATACTCCAATGATCATTATAAATATCAAACTTATTCTTTACTCAGCAAACTTTGGCCCAAACCGGCTCAGTAATCGGTCTCAGTCACTTATTCCTCTCGGCTTTCTCAGACTTTTATACTACCTATTTTTTTATTTGTGTTGTTGATATTTTCAAAATGCAGGTACTTCCGAAAGAAGAAACCATCTCGCTTAGAGACAAACACATTGGGTAAGAACCTTTCTATACAAATTTGGGGTTGAGATAGCGGGTGATACTGAGATGTGGCTCATTCCATTACCTCTCCTGATTTTTGAAGACACGAAAGTGTAGTATAATGCAAATATTGTTATTTCGTCACAGAAAACAAGGTTGGCCACGTGTGGGTCAAGCAAGTTCGATAATTTTCAGTAAAAAAAAATATCAGCTTTTGAAAAAATTAGGGTGGAATAGTCACATACAGGGTGATCGAGTCGTGAGGAACTGTATACATACTCCTATCACGAATAGAGGCCCCTGAGGGGAATACCTAATGTCCATCAGAAAGTGTCTTCTCCACTTCTTTTCCAATGTATAGGGTGAATTATGAGATTTGGTAAAATCATCTTTTGCTCATAACTTTTCAGCAGCTCCTTCAATTCGTCTGATTTTTTCATGGAATCATCCAGAATTCGGAAAATCCAGGACCGTTCATGAAAAATTTTGATAGTTTAGTTTATAGCGAAAAGTTCATCCTGTATATCGTTTTTGTAAACTGTGACAGGGAATTTTCGAAGGTCACAAACAAACATCAAAAATAGAATATTCCAAATTTTTATCACACTTTCACGACTGTAGTTTGAAAAAAAAACTATGAATTTTATGAAAAAACGAAAATTTGACAAAAAAATTATTAATTTGGGAATTGATACTTCGCAACCCATACATTTTACAGATGAAGATGAGACTTACATTTGCAATGCTTCAGCTTAATGGAAATCAACATATCATTTTATTCGCCGGCTTGGGTTCAGTGACTTATTAATTTTTTGTGGAGGAAAAATAATAATCACCCTGTAGATCTTTCTCAAATCAGTGGATGGGGTATCCGAGAAAATGTTGATGGCCATCGCTACAAATAATTTCATGATTTCAATTCACAGTTTCATCTATTCGATTTGTTTAATTCAGTTAATTTGGTCACTTATTTTCCGTACTAGAATTATTATCCGCCTTTGTCAGTATAGCTTTTGAAAAATAATTGTGAATAAACCTTTATTTTCTAACTAGGGAAAAAGCCAAATACTGTTCGACTATCTCGAAATATTTAAATCTGTCACCATTAACCTCTAAACAGATACACCATCCCCTGATTTGAAAAAGATCTACAGGGTGATTATTACCCTCCACAGTCTTACTTTTATTTGAGAAATTTATGCGTTGCGAAGTAATTATTTTCAAGTGAATAAATTTGTTTTTTAAACTTTTTGCTTATAATTTATCGTTTTTAAAAAAATCTTTGATGCATGTTTGTAAAAACCATATACCGGATGATATTTTTGATAAGAACATCGAAATTCTTCAAAAACGGTCCAGGATTTTCCTGATTCTGAAGATGTCAGTCGATGAAGGTTCCTTGAAAAAATCAGACAAATCGAAGGAGCTGTTGAAAAGTTATGACCAAAAGATGTATTCCCCTCAAGGGCCTCTATTCGTGGTTGGAGTATGTACAGCTCCTCATGACTCACCCTGTATAAATCAACTCACCTGCTCGACTCTTTCTTTCCGTCATTAAGCTATGGCTTACTAGTCATTTTTTTCTTTCAGCAAATCTTGCCAACTCTTCTTCCGTAAAGATCCTCTGAAAATCGTTAGAGCCAAAGGGCAATACATGTTCGATGAAAGGGGTGATGCCTATCTGGATTGTATCAACAATGTGGCTCATGGTAAGAATGATCGATGATTCATATAATATTCTCATGAGATTCACGAGGTTTACCTATATGACAAATTGAATTGCATATTTTCCTCCTTGCTTTTCCAATTCAAGAAGAATTCTTGGCAGAAATTCACCGGAAAAATGATATTGAGAAAAAACTGGTAGGTATATGGGAATCGATGCCACTCTGTAAGTTCTCTAGCAATCATAATAATTGGTAATCGATGATAGTAAAAAAGAAAGATGTGGTTATCGGTAAAAACTATGTTTCTTCAACGGCCTGCCCAGACAGCACTGGGTATTCCTAGAATAATCTCTAAATATGCTAAAAGACAATGTATTCCAAATTTTCCTGGAACGTCCAAGGAATATTCCAATGTGAATATTCCAGTAATATTCAATAATATGAAAAGAATATTCCAGATGGGATATTCAAAGGGCAATATTCCCAGAATATCCCAGTTTTCAAGGAATACTCAGCTGGGAAAATACCAGGAATATTCCACGAATTATCCTATGTGTTTCAATTAAATAGTATAGTATAAACACCAATCACTATTATGTAGATGTGACATAGATCTATGTGTGTATTTAGATTTATGGATGTGAGATTCTCGAACAGAAAGTATTTATGATTACTGGCCTAGCGGTTGAGGAGTTATAATAAAAATATAATAATAATAGTTTATTCATCGAATAAATACAATTTGATATTAATCAAGCAATAACATAAACTTCAACCTAATAAGGTATGTAGGTACATCCGATAAATAAACGCAATACTCACGAAGCTGATCCTCAGAACATAGGGTATTCGATCTGGGAGTGCAAAGCAAGATCCTTCTTTGGATCTATATAGAATTATTGTGTATTATTGTTGCTTTGACCATCTGAATATGATGAGTTCGAGGCGATTGGGTCAGCTTTTTTTTTCATGAATATGTTCAATGCACTATAGTGCGGGAGAAAAATTCTCACACTAGTGTGGGAAAATCAACAAATGACACTTCCCAAACTAAATTGCGTGTGGATGTAGGGTGAATCACGCACGCTTGTAGAAAAATATTGTGATTCGAATTGAAAATGTACCACTTATACTACTGTTAGAGCAACAGTAGTAAAAAAAGTCACAGCCTTTCGATAGTTAATGAAGGCACACTGAAGAAAATGTCTATTAACCATACTCAGAAATTGAATTACCCCAGCAAGAAATCGTCGTCGAGATGGTCGTCCTGTACATGGGTTTGCATCAAGAGCCCAACTATGAATGATTGATCAAGCAAAATGTCTGACAAATGCTTATCAGCAAAATATCGAATAACAATAAGTAGGCGCTGAATAACCCCAAGTAGGTTCGTCTAATATTATTTTCGTGGCAGACTGACAGTTGTATTATTGGTAGTGAGTGCAGTTCTATGCGATGAACCTCGCAGCCACAAGTATATAACTCACTAGTAGGTAGTAGTTCAGCTAGACAATTATAAAAATAATCATGCTGTCCCAGAGTGGCTGCCTGATAGCGACAGCAGTATACCTTCCTGTGGCAGGAAATTCACTTTCAGCAAAGTCGTTATTGCTATCATAGGATTTCAAGGTGTTGCTTCTATCCGAAAATGAACCTATAACGGTAATATGATTCCTAGTAATGGTAAAGATATATCTCAGCGAAAACTCTAATAGAACAATTTTCCTCAGTGCACAGTGTATACCTATACTATCAAAATTTCCAGTTGGTCATTGTCATCCAGAAGTGGTTAAAGCAGGCTGCGACCAAATGTCAACCTTGAACACCAACAACCGATTCTTACACGACAACATCGTCGTCTGCGCCAAAAAAATCATCAGCACAATGCCCGACGAGCTTTCGGTCTGTTTCTTCGTCAATTCCGGCTCAGAAGCCAACGATCTCGCCATCAGACTGGCTCAGATCTATACCGGAAACAAGGACGTCATAGCACTGGAGCAGTAAGTCACTTGTTTTCACATTCGAACTAACCAAGCGCGTTTTCAGCACCATACATGGCCTACTATCTAAACCGCAAAATGTCATATGAGATGTTTATAATTCCTCTGGTGTGCCCACTCTTCAATTGTTTCGTCAGACTAGCTCTCGATATGAACAATTGAATGCGAGTTCGGAACGTAAGGTTCTCATATTCGATGATAGATGGCGTGAACAATGAATTATAATTATTAGTTGAGTGAGTGTATTGTGCTTTCATCATGCACTGACTGCTGCAATGTTTGAGGATTATTTGAAAATCCGAACATTCTTTTTTTTCATGTACGAAAAGTGATTAAATAAACTATTATATCACATGATTTTCTTAAGTAAGGACTTTGTGTTGTTCATGGATTCCCCATTGAAAGTCTAAAATATACCGCACCGTTTCCATTCAAACAAAAAATTGTGAAAATGAAAATGTGAACTCAAATGAATGCGTCATGATGCCTGTAAATTTGGTTTGAAACTTCGGAAATTTAGCAAGATTCTCCCACGCCTCGCTATTTTCACAAAGTAGGCGAAATCGAGAGATATCGAAACTCCTTTCAATAGGTAGTGATAACACCATTTGACTTTCTATATATATATATATATATATATATATATATATCATATTCGGCCTTATTTTGTGTACTCATGTGACTGGTGTTTTAGTCAGGTATCAAAACGCAATGAACGTGGTTAAATAGTTAAATTGGTGCATTGGTATAAAGTTGTGCTGACATTTTTCTTATCGTGATGAATTAATAATTTCATAATATAGGCAGAAATAAAAATGCGGGAATTCAATGCATCACCAGTTCAATCTCTTGAATATATGAACTTTTGTCTTATGTCATCAGCGGTCTAGATAGCAGGTTATGTCTGCGGTTTTCAGGCCTCCAGACGCTACCGACCTGGGACCTACATAGTTTTGGCTAATTCGAGGCGGAGTTTTTGAGATTTGCATGTAAACTGACAAAACATTACACTTCCACGTTTCAATATATCCATTGATGTCAGTTTTGAAATTGGTTTATCAAGCATTGCTTCATTTCTTTTAAATGACTATAGAATTCGGAGATTCAACTTTTCAGTCTAATTTTTTGTCAGTTTTTGATTGTTTCATGAGAAGAAGAAATTGGGAAATCTTTCAATAGTATGGGAATGGTCTCATATTTCAGGAACGACTCTGAAAAAATTCATGGAATTTCATACAGGAAGGTTTTTGATGATGTTCAATTCACTATCAAGATTTCAGAGACTCATTTTTCAGATCGAAATATGACTTTTTTCTTATGAGTATATGTGCCCGCAAACGCTTTGTTAATATCTCCCTGTTGATTCTCACACAGTCAATATATTGTATAATCATTTTACTTGATTTTTTTGAATTTTCTCTCCTCGTTTCTAGGGTATTATTTCAATTTAGGAATATAGATATATTGAAACAATATCGAATTTTTACTTATCTTTGGACGTATTTAAACTGTATAAAGTTGGCTCTAAGACATTACCTATCTTTCAAATTTCACCTGAATATCTCGAAAACTAAAAGAGCTAGTTTTGAAACACTCTGTATTAAACATCTCTTATCTGTCTCAATAGGAAACGTATAAAATGTATCAATAATCCCATTATCAGCACCCATTTCATAATCTAGAAGGAATAATATTTCCATCATGCGCTTTAATTACTCAATGTATCTTATCTCCCTTTTAATACATATTAATATTTTTCCACCAACAATAAACTTTCCTTTATATCAATATACAGTGCATACCACATGCAGTAAAAACAAAAAGGTGATTATCAGGAAAAATTAAAGAAACACTATAATGTCACTTGAATATATGATAATGACAATTTCACTGTGTAAAAGTTGGGGAGGTGAATTAATTAATGCTAAACCGAGTATCAATACATTATCAGCTCACTCTAAGTTATTTAATTACTGGCGTCATAGAAATCTATTTTTAATTACACAAGATTTCGAGATTACCATTGAAAAATAATGACGCTGTTATTGAGCAAATAATAATTATTGTTTGATTAATAAATCTCTGATTTTGCTTCTCATCAAACGATCAAAATAAATCTATTTCATTATATCTTGACATACCTAGTTTAAGAATCTGAAGCCGAACCAATCTAATAGCTGTGTTTTTATTTTTCTCTTTCAGCAAAACATAACAAATTGTAGATGAAGAGTCCACAACCTATAGCTCATCAACTGCAAGGCCTTTTGGGACCAGAGCCTGCTTCAAATAATCCTTCAAGTTTTTTTTACAGGAACATATAGTGTGATTTCCAAGTCTGATGTTAGAAACAGTCAAAAAATCAAAATATGTTCTTAATTCCATCAAGTTGAATCAATGAATTGTTCGTTCGATATCCATCAGGCTTGGAGAATGGGGTGGGGGTAGATTTTTTGTTTATGCATAATGTTGGGGGCTAAAATGCTCGATAGGGTGAGAGGAACGATACGAATATAGTTATTTTTTAGCGCTTACCATGGCCATTTGACCTCTTTGATTGATATTTCTCACTACAAATTCAATCTACCTGGTGGCGTTGGACAGAAGAATCATGTTCACGTGGTGAGTGATATTTTTTTTCGCCATGTCTGATATCACGCTTGACGTTATTTTATTTCACCGTCAAGCGTGGTGCCAGACACAATTCCAAATTAATGATGATTTTCCAAAACGGTATAAAATGATTACAATCGATGAATTTTGATTAAAAGTATAGATAGAATAAAAATAGTATGGGTTGTTGAACTTCATCATCAATTCCATACATTTATCAATAAATATGTATTGAAATTTGAATCACATGTATTTGCAAAGTAAACATTTGAAAAGTTTTTCGTATACTTTGATCCATATTACATATTCAATGCACGTGATGTTTTTCAATCAATAATTACTATCTTTTCATTGACCTCATTTACTATATAAACATCGATGCAGATATTGATATAATATTTACAAAATTATCCAGTCATTGCCCTAAATTTATGGTATTCAATACGTGTTTGATTATTTCAATAATTGGGCTACGTACTTTTTATTTTGCAATAAATTGATAGTTCGATTGAGAATTAGTTCTTATGTATCAAAATTTCTCAACTGGTGTGTCTGTCGCAGACTACCAGAGATTTTTAGAAAACTCAAACCTATCTGGAGCAGTTTTTATTGTTCTCTGGATACAGTATCTAATGAGATATCCATATCATTCCAGTACAAAATAATGCAAATAAGTTACGAAGTGATTTATCAGAAATATGTTCTCTGAATCTTGTGCCTTAGCTTTGACGGTTTTACCCAATATATTCCATGTTGAATATACTAGAATTTATTTCATGAATACCTGACTGCACCAACTGCCTGAGTAATTGACAGTTTTAATTTTATCATGATCAAGTACTTCGTTAGCCTTTCATGAGCAGCAGAATTAGTGAATACCAAAAATATTTATTCTCATTCATTCAACATTCAATTGGCTGGTTCACATCCAGGTCTCTCGTTTATCTGGAAAACCCCTCAGTCAACCATCTGTATCAATCAAATACCTGTTACAGTCAACCACTTGTTTTTTTATTTTTATCTGTCCGAATGCATGGAAGAGGGATCCCTGTTCGATGGCCCAATGATTAAATCGGCGACACAATGCTGGCGATATAATTGCCCAATGATTTTATCAATGGCATATCTGTCGAGTACCTGTTGCAGTCAACCACCTGTTGCACATAACCTCGCCACCGAAGATTTACTGGCCTACGTCACCCATATATGCCAAGCTTCTTTGGAAAAACATGGAGAATCTCTAGTTGTAGCGTTAGACATATCGAAAGCATTCGACCGTGTTTGGCACCAAGGACTGTTCCACAAACTACCATCATATAGCTTACCACGTCAGCTATGCCATCTTTCATCGAGTTTTCTTTAAGGCGAATTGCTGCATGTGATGGATGGGGTATGGACTGATTCCATTGCCATCAATTCCAGCGTTCCACAAGGATCAATTTTGGCACCAAGATTGTTCCTACTTCATTTCAACGATCTATTGAAAGCAACCACTTGCCCTATTCACAACTTTGCAGACGATGGTACTCTCTATTCTGCGTTCTCTTCTAGAATTCCCATTTCTTCCCATAAAACTTAGAAGGTTCGTCAAAGGCAGGCCAACGCTGTCGATAAAGATCTTGCGGAAATTGAAGCCTGGGGAACCAACAACTTAGTTGAATTCAACCCCACCAAAACTCGAACCTGCATTTTCTCTATATAAACGGAGCAACTTAGGACACATGGTTACATGGACTTTATTTGCTAGAATTCAACAAGGAAACACCCCTTGAATTTTTTCGGTGTTATAGGACCATTGCCCAGCCAAGATTATGTGCTACTGGGGTTATAATCTCCAAAAGTAAAAAAAAACCAACACCTACCTACCTCCTCTCCATATACTCCCTGGGTACACACGATGTTCCATGAATATTATAGAAATTTCCTTTCGTGCGCTCCAAAAGATTTAAAAAACTCGTTGTTTCCAGGCCTCCCTGCCGGATTCCTACAGGGGCAAATACCGCGACACCGACCACCCCAAACACCAAATCGGCCATCTCTACGCAGACGAAGTGCGCGACATTTGCTCCAAGGTCACCGCCAAGCCAGACGGCGGCGTCTGCGCATTCATCGCCGAAAGCCTGGTCAGCTGTGGGGGGCAGGTCGTCCCCCCCGACAACTACTTCGCCGAGGTGTACGGTCACGTGAGGGCAGCCGGTGGGGTGTGCATAGCCGACGAGGTCCAAGTGGGCTTTGGAAGGATCGGGAAGCACTGGTGGGCGTTCCAGCAGTTCGGTGTCGTGCCCGATATCGTCACGATGGGCAAGCCCATGGGGAACGGACACCCTGTGGCTTGCGTGGTGACGACCAGGGAGATCGCTGATAGTTTCATGAGAACGGGCGTGGAGTATTTCAATACGGTGAGTAGCTTTATCCTAAAAAAGGCAACTACAGACCGCTCGCACTGCTATTTATTATTTCAAAAGATCATGGAGAAAGCTATCAACATCGAGCTTTTCATGAGCATGAGGCAATATGGCTTCCGTCATCAGAGATCAACTGGTGTCAATCTATTGAAAAGTATGGTGAAACCTTAGCCGTGGCACTTGATATCTTGAAGGCATTCGATCGAGTCTGGCACCACGGACTCCTCGCCAAGCTTCCATCTTATGGCTTGCCTCCTCAGCTATGTTCTCTGCTAGCTAGTGCTCTCTCCATGTAGTGGTCGACGGAGTTTCAACTGAATATTTTAAAATCATAAATGATGGTGTTCCGCAAGGATCAATTCCAGCACTAACACTACTCCTACTCCATATCGACGATTTGTTGGAAGCAACTTCATGTCCAGTACACAGCTTCGCGGATGATAGTACCCTCCATACCGCCTTCTCTTTCAGGGTTCCAATACCAGCCAAGAAAATCAGAAACGAACGAGGGAGAAATGTTGACAACATAAATATGTTAAATACTGTCTGTAGGTTAATCGAGAGAAAATCCCAAAAAATTTGGATCAATGAACATAAATATGGACTAGACAAGAATTCTCGAATGGGGATCCAATAACTTGGTAGATTTCAATGCAAACAACACAAGCATGCCTTTTCTCTAGAAAAGCTGATCTCACTGTGCCCAACATCAGCTTGTCAGGAGTAACCATACCCTTGAAAACATTTATTTCGATGCTTGGTATTACTATCAGCAATAACCTTTCTTGTTAAAATCACGTGAGATCAATTGATAAAAGTTCATCCCAAAAACTTGGTTTGCTGTTTCGAGCCAGGAGATATTTCAACTCCAGTCAGCTGCTTCTGATATATAAGGCACAGATCCGACCTGTCCTGGAATACTGTTCCCATATTTGGAGTGCAGCACAAACATACCCTGAAACTGTTGGATTCTGTCCAATAAAGGGCAATTATCGGCTCGTGGGTGATGCCTCGCTCACTTCCTACCTTATTTCCCTTGGTTCTCACGATGTTCTCTGAACATTACAGGGTATCCCTTTTCGTGAGAACCAGAACATAAAAAAAAACTCGCGGATTGTTGGGCTAATGATCTGATTAGCGGCGCAATGCTGGGGTTGTAAAGGCCCGATGATTTTATCAATGGTATACTTATGGCAATGAGAGAAAATCATTAAAATTCATGATTTGTTGTTCCTATTCTAATTTATGTTGATTGCAAACTTTTTTTAGTATGGTGGAAATCCGGTTTCGTGTGCTATTGCAACAGCTGTAATCGATACGTTGGAAAAAGAAAACCTGAGGGAGAATGCAGTGGTAGTTGGAGAATACCTATTGGATAATTGCCAGTTATTGGCTAAAAAGCACAAATGTATCGGTGACATCAGAGGTGTTGGACTGTTCGTCGGGATTGATTTGGTTCAAGACAGAGAAAGCAGGGTACCTGATGTTCAGTGTGCTAAATTTGTATTGCAAAGGTAATATTATTTGTTCTTGCAATTATGTACAGGGTGTTCCAAATTGCTTGATTTTGCCGTGTTTCTCATCTAAAAACAAATGTACTGTACCGCTTATGTTTGAGATCAACGCCAACTTTGTTATTTCAAATAGAAATCTTAGTTGGCTTCAACTTCAGAAAGACGAAAAACAATAAATTGATATAGAAATGAACAAAACCTCAGAATCTCAACTTTGAATGAATTTCAGGTTTTATAAAATCACCTACTTCACGATTTTTTTTTTCATTTTAGAATGAGAGAAGAACATATTCTGATAAGTTTAGATGGACCGCATAGTAACATCATCAAAATGAAGCCACCGATGGTTTTCACGAAGGAAAACGTGGACGAAGTGATTTCCACGTTGGACAGGGTGTTCAAGGAATACCGCCATAAGATGGAGTTGTATCCTCAGAATTCTCACACCGTGCAGAACACCGCATTCACAGATGTCAAGGCTACCAAAGAACACAGGCCCATCAATACTTTGTTCCAGAAATCAAAAATCAAATCCATATGAAGATCATTTCCGGATGTATTATTAAGATTAGCGAAATCAGCATTAAGAAGCAGAAGACACAGAAATTCGAACAATCTTCATCAATGTTCGAATGTGAGGTTATGATTGTAATAACTTCATTTTTCTATTTATTCACTATAACTAATGTAACTTTTTTGTACTCTCTAGTCAATATTAAGTAAGTTTAATTTTGCATGAATTCATTGCATGCAAACTCAATTTCTCAATGTTTTAATTGATGGAAATATATAAGTAGCCATGTAGGTATATCAAATTGAATGAACTATTTTATGTTCAATGATTAATAAAATACTCGAAAATATCGTATTTGTATTTTTTCATCTGACTCTATGGAGAATATTGCATAATAATTGTTATGTTAATTGAGCAATACAATACTATTTCGGCCAAACATGCACCATCAGTCACACTCGGTTTGCAGAAAATGAGTAAATTCATCGCGCCTCAATATCCTGTAGATGCTAGCGTCTGGCGATGACAATCATTTTTTTGGAAGTGGGTGAATAATATTGCTTTTATTTGATGGAAGATCACAAGCTTAGGGATTTTTATATACAGGGTGTTTCAAAAAAACCTAACCCCCTTGCTAGGGTAGGTAGAACATTGCAAAATAAGTTGGGTTTGCTCAGTGAAAAAATGTAACGGCATCCGTTTTCATGATACAAGGTGTTGAAGAAAATATTTTTTTACACATTTTTCACGATTATTCCGAAACTACTGGCAACATTGTAATGAAATTTTCTTATGGATGTTTCTCGAAATCTGACACATCGCATGAATTAGTTTTTATATCTGACTCTCATAGAGGGCGCTAGTTACACGGTTCGTACCGAGTAGTTTTGATCATAACTTTTTTGAGGTTAGATTTTTCAATCCAAATATGATATGAACTTGAACATCATTCAATTTTACACCAAAAAGGTACTCTTGGTGAAACTCGATACTATGTTCCGTTTTCGGAATATTTCGATTTGAAAATAATGGAGTAGTAATGATGCTGGTATAAAATGAAATTCATTGAGTTCAATTACCTATTTATTTAGGTTCAAAAACAATAAAATTAATCTTGTGCTGAAGTTATTGATGGAAGAAAGAATCATAAGTAGAAAATTAAGAGATATTTGACTAGAAACATGAAATATTGATTCAGTAAGAGTAAGTGTTCAAAATGTCCTACGTTTCGAGGAATACACGATTCTATATTCTTTTTTTAAGAATGTATTATTCTTCAGTTGAGGACCAGCTGTTGGGTCATTTAAGTGATGTTCAATTATGTCTCACAACTTTTGACGTGAATTCACCTATGTAGCATAGACTTTCTGCTCAAGATACAACAAAACTGTGTAATCCATGTTCTTAGTCAAATCTGTTTCGATGTTATTCTTGTGATTCATTGTTGAATCAATGAGTTTTGCATCAGAAATGGATTGTTGTTTTCGGTTTTCGATAAATAGATGATGATTTTTCATAATACTCACTCTATTACATAGCTTTATACCAGCAACAGTTACCACTTTAACATTTTCAAATCGAAATATTCCGAAAACGGAATAGAGTTTCACCAAGAGTACCTTTTTGGTGTGAAATTGAATGATGTTCAAGTTCACATCAAATTTGGATTGAAAAATGTAACCTCAAAAAAGTAATGTTCAAAACTACTCGGTACGAACCGTGTAACTAGCGCCCTCTATGAGAGTCAGATATAAAAACAAATGCATGCAATGTGTCAGATTCCGAGAAACATCCATACAAAATGTCATCACAATGTTGCTAGTCGTTTCAACATAATCGTAAGGAATGTGTAAAAAAAATTGTTTCAACACCTTGTATCTTGAAAACGGATGGCGTTACGAAATTTTTTCACTAAGCAAACCAAACTTATATTGCAATGTTCTACCTACCCTAGCAAGGGGGTTGGTTTATTTGAAACACTCTGTATACGAAGGGAAAGAAAAAGTTGAATGTACTAATCAATCAACGATGTGAAATTGTTCATTCTCAACTATTGCTCAAAACTCCACTTCACTTTTGACAGATATCATCGAAGTATTGTCAGCTTTTTGAGAATTGAATACAATGCCATATTTTGTAATCAGTGGAAAACCAAATTGTCCACATTTTATGCATGCCATCCACGTCGCTAAATATTTATCAGAAAGACTACCGAATTTTATTTACCAAAAAGTTGAAAAGTTGGCAACGGAATGGGCAGTGAGTAATTATTTTTAAATCCAGATCATTTGGCAGCATTTATCGAGTATTTTATCCTTGTAGAAATACGTTTACAAACTCAACAAAGAAAATACATGGTACATAACTGAAAGTCCGCTAATATGGAAAGAAATCAACATATGGGGCGGAAAAAAGCACCTCATAGGTGGACTGAGTGAATTTTGGGAGTATGTTTACTGCTACTATGGCTTAGAATCTATTTGTCCCAAAACAGACCTGGAAAAACTTGCTGCAGACAACCTCAAGGTACCTTTTCCTGAACTATTCAGTAGAAACTTGTGAATGTAAGTTTGGAGTTTCATTTCAGTTCTTTGTGCAACACCAGAAGATAGCAATGGAGAATGAGAAAAATGTACGTGTTATTGCCATTCATGGTGCTTCTGCACCCCAAACATTTCATCTCATTGATAGCTTGCTCCAAATATCAGACTTGGAGAAGCGAGAAGGAATGTGCTTCAAACTCTATGACACACAAAGCAATTTCGAAAAATCTGATGAGACCACGACTTACTTCAACAATCTCAGTATTTACGGAAATCGGAATGTTGTCACCATTGCTGCTACTGAAGAAGAAGCTGTTAAAGACGTAGATATACTCATCCATGTTGGAGATTTCAGAAAGTATAGGAAAATTGTTCAGAAATGGCATCTTTGTTTGAGAATATATTTTTAGGAAGATTCGGGAAAATATGCAAGCATGTTTGAAACGTTGCTTCATCAGCATGCAGCATCTTGCAGAAATCATCAACAAGCATGCAAGACGTAACTGCATTGTAATCATGAACAACCATGGACCGGTTAGTATGCATACACCAGTAATACCAAAGAAAATCAAATAATGCAAATATCGGTCAGAAGACATTCAAAGTTGTGACTGACCAGTGATTTCTTCACATTGTGTCACGGTTTCGAACCTTAGAAACTAGTTTTCATTCAGATTACAGTTGATAAGCCGACCTAATCCAAAGTGTTGCATTAGTAGATAGGTTGTTGGAGTTCTAGAACAATATTATGGAGTGGGGTTGAATCTTTAAAGGGGTAAGAAGGTGTGGCCTGATGAAGCTAGATGGTTGTCGACTCTTGAAGGTTATTCTGAATATGGAGTTAGTATTGAATGCTTCGAATGTCGATGTGAGTAATCTAGATCGAGTTTTGCATTAGGTCAATTAGGTCAATTAGTTCGAAAATTCCATAAATGAGTGGTGTGTTTAACTACTTGTACAAACGAGTATGTGAATTCTCCATATGGAAATTTTATCTCGAAATTAGTCGAAGATTCACTCTCTTTAGTTTGTCCCGATGAAACCAAAGATACATCAAGCTAGAGTGTCTTGGATTTGCTTATCATTTGACGTATTTGTAATGACAATTCAACTAGACTGCCACGGCACTTTTGACCAGCCCCCACCAGAAATAACCTACAAACCCCTTCTTATCCTAGAACCCCAATAGCTCATCTACTACTGTCGTTCCGAATATTGCTTCTTGTAGGTATGTTTCCTGGCCACCTGTCTTGTGGAGATGTGCACGAGGCTGAGACCCTCTAATATCGTAGCTGTGACAGCTGACATGGGTCTCTCAGTTCTAAATGTCGTTTCAGAAGAAAGTGGGATTCCTGTTGAAAAACTCAGCGCTCCTCCAGTGTGGGGTTCCGTGGGGTTGTGTTCCTTCGTAGACGAAAGGCATATCGTCTTCAAGGCTGATGTTTATAGACCGTATGAAAGGTGAGAATAGTGTGTCCAACATGATATATACCCAGTTGACCAAACCTTGCAGCATCTTTATCATTGCTGCATTTCAAATGTTATGTTTATTATCACATACAATGTTTCAATCAGAGATATAGTAGGTATAGATAAATGTCTCTCAAGTGAGCAGTGATTTTTTACAGGGCTCTTTCTTCTCCTATTGGTTCAACTCTGCCACTTGGCACCATGAAGTCTGAACTCAGATTGTTGACGAATTTGATGACTGATCATGAAAAAATCAAGAGAACCATAGATGAAAGACATGTAAGAACAAATGATAATGAAGTTGCTGCTGCTAGTGTGCTAGCGGATTTTTGATTTGCAGGCAAAAATGAATGTGAGGTTGAATCGTGCCCCAATATTGGCGAAAATTAGAGCAGTTACAAGTCTATTGAAACTCTGGTTTGCCAGTCCATATTCCGATAGTATAATTTCTTTGGGAGTTTCTTCGAATGGTAGGAAAAATAAAGTAGACGATTTCATTTAGCGTTATTCTGACACTTTCTCAGGTTCCTTTGGGATAACCCCAGGTATAGTATTTTCTCAACCCGTGAAACTAGATGATAGAGGAAAATGGGTCCCATTTGACACGTTTCCACTTCTCAGTGATTTTACTAGAAGTCAGATACAGGAATGCGTTTCTGTCTGCTCGGAAGTATTGCAACTATGTGGCATAGAGAAAAATGATGATATTTCACCTGTTGATATTGTGTCGATGGATAGTGACAGTTCTTCAACGCAAGATGACGAAGAATCAGATGGTAACAAAATAAATGAGGGCGAAACCTTAGGAAAAAGTGGAAACATAGACGAACATGAAGAAGAGAAAGAAGGTATGAATGAAGTGAAGAGTGGTAAAGAATCAGACAATGGAGAAGTAGACAAAGAGGAAAAAACCGTTGACAATAATGAAGAGAAGGAGAAAAACGAAGAAATAGGGAAAGTAGGAGATGAACAGACATATAAAAGAGCAGAAATGGATACCGATGAAATAATAGAAATAAAAGAGAAAATTGTGACGATAGAAGTACAGGAGAGTGAAGAAAATATTAATGTTGAAAAAGTTGGTACTGCAGAAAAAACTCATAATGAAGTTGCTCAAGGTTTGGATGGAGAAGAAAACATGGGAACGAAGGAAGGTGAATAATATTGAATGATAGCCAAAGATGCAAATGTCATCTCAATGTGATTTTATTCAAAACTGAGAAATATTATAACACTCGGTTTTTTATACAATCAAAAATGTTTGCTTATGTGGTAAATTTAAATTCTTTATATAAAAATAGAACTACAAATTTGAAATTATTGCTGAGATCATTTCGATACAAGATTATATTAAATGGAATGTTATATTGCTTTAGGCACATATAATAGTGGTCATACCTATTTGTACAAAAAATACATTTCATCTTATTCTAATTTTCTATTCGATAGAGTCAACACGAAAAAAGTTATCTTTCATTGTGAATATCTACAGAAATGAGTAGAAATAGTAATATATTTAGTATAATCAAAAATAAATCCAAACAAAATTGTACTAATCAGAATACTAAGATATAATTATTATAACTTAAAGTGTTTGACACGTTTCCATATCAGAATATGAATATCCACAGTTAACAGACAAATAAAGATGCATGTTTTATTTGAAAGAAAGTGGAGAATAAAATTTCAGTCTTTTGATATTGTTTTCTTATCAATTTACATTCTTTCAACACCAAGAATTTATTATGTTTTGAAGTTGAATTTTCGAGTTTTCGGCATGAACTTAGAGTATCTACCTGAAAAATTCAACCCAACATTATTTCGATATGGATACCTTCCTGTTGAAACTTGGTAAGTCATGTCGGTAATTCGTCATCAGAAACTGTTTTTCATGAACATGAATAATTGGTAAACGTTCTTTTGTAACTTCTGAAATGGCAGCTCAAAATCTGAAATAAATAAGGAACTTCTCAAACATGTAACAGTTCGTGATCAGAGGAATGAATTTCGAATAATTCCAGTTTCTCATGTAGGAAAAAATGTTTCTGGAAAATTACTCAAGTGTTAATTTGAAAATCACTCTATTGCCATTATGACAGCCAGAAACACCGGAATGATCATCATTTACTGTCCCCCCAAAACGTGCCACTGACAATTTTAGAACAAATATCTTCTTCTACGTCGAAAGAGACAAGAAATCTTCCGAGTTTCGACGGGTAAAGACTAGTGGACAACTTTTCCTTCAATATTTTTCATGGAAAAGTTAAGTTCGTTGTTTTACCCTTAGTACTTTGTAGAAACAAGATTATATTATACTTGAATATTGAAAAATAATTTAACTATATATGTTCACTCCAATCTGAAAATATCAATTTGTCAAAATCGCCCTGATAAGCCGTTGTTATCATTCACTACTCACTGAGGTATTTTAATAAGACATTCTTGAGAATGAAAGTTCAAGAATTATATTCCCGAACATTGAAATTGCACTGAGAATGTATTTGGTTTTGATAAAATAGAAATGCACTGGAGAACGGTCATTTTCAAAAATGAAAATTATAAAAAATATAGCCTTCGAAATTCGATGGGACAAAACCTCCTTTCAGATAATTCTTGTTTTTGACAATATTTCTACTGAGTGTTTTTGAAGTACGCATGAAAATTACAGGAGTATGTTGCTGACGTCAAAATGAGAAGAAAAGTTCGTAAAAAATTTTTTTGTGAGTAAATTCAGAAATGAACGTGATATTAGAGTGAAATTTGGAATCTCACCCGAATATCATGAATATTTTGGAATTCATTCACAAAAACTCGAAATAACAATCAAAATTTGACACTCTTTATTTCAGAATGAATAACTTGCGGACATACGTTTATACAAACTTCTCTCCTCATTTAAACGTCAGCAACATGCTCCTAAATTTTTCACACGTACTCAAGAAACACCTTGTATAAGTTGAAATAATTTAGTTGGTTTCGTAAAAGATTATTGACCGAGAAATTCGTTAATTTCATATGGAAAACAATTGGGAGCCAGGGGGGGCTCCACTTTTCTGTTGCCCCATGGCCTCCAGACCCCTAAATACGGCTCTGCCTCACTTTTTAGTAGCGCCAACTGGTTAAAGTGGAAATGTTATCCCTCATTGTGAACGAATCTTTGATGGCATTTTCAATCTTTCCCAATCTTGCGTTGTCAGAAAAGTATCTAATCTGTGGAAATGTCACGATTTGGATAGTGTTCGAGTGTAGAAATTGAAAAATCTATCAATAATGTGCGCTTTACGCATTTATTAAATTGTCTCACCGAATTACACTCAGGCATCAACATTTATAATTCGAGTTTTGTTGCCTTCAGGAAATTTAACTCAAAAAACTAAGAAGGCAATTTTTTTCGTTTTCGAATTTTGAAATGTCAAGTTCACTCCAACAAAAAAGCTCTCCTGTGACAAAAAGGATCGGGCTTTGGAAGCATCAAAACCAAAATTGTCAACAGATCTAGATTACTTGGAACCAACAAGAAATCTTGATAAACCTAAGCAATGGGCGTGTACACCTTAGTAGTCATTTTAACTCAAACCATGTTTATAATGATCCTTTTATGCATAAATAATGATTGACGACATTATTCGATCGAAAAATTGACTGAAATGTTTTATTTTTGGCACATAAATAATAGTACCTTCTGAAAACGGACCCTCTTATGACGTAGAAACCTCATCTCGCCATAGTTGAAAGAAAAACGCCAGACGGAGACTGGGGCAACTGATATATTAATTCTTTCAACTGTGATCTCGCGCTATCTCACTATGATAGAAATCATGTATCATTCATCTCTGTCTGGAATAATCTTGTTTCAGTATTAGGGTTTTGACGTCACATCATCGCCTCGTTTTCAGAGGTCCGAAAAATCGGGGATTTCAATAATTTTTTATAAAACGTAGGGAGCTCACAGCAAGAAACGGTTTGCGGTGGTGAGCTGAATTTTGAAGTCAATAGCCATAAACACGAACACATAACCAGAGAAAGTGTTAACTCTCATCAAAATTAAATCAGATATGGGTAAAAGATCTATTTTATACCATGGGACAATTCTCTAGAATGATTCACCTGCCAGACTGAAGAAAAAACAAGTGTTGAGAAATTGAAAAAAGAACTGAAAAAATACTTATGTCTTTGATTCTCTTATATCATATTGAACAGTCTGATTAAAACTGATTATCTGAATATAAAATTAAATTTGAAGATTATTATATGGTGTTCATGTCAATTTTTCCTCCTCCTCTCACGAACCGTCACACCCCTCCCTCCCTACAACCTAACCTCCAAAAAATAATCAAATACTCAGCGACGGCCGCTTCTTGCGATCCCCCTTCGAGTTCTTGCCGAAGATGTTGCCCAGCACCTTCGAAACACTGTTCACACCCAGCTTCCGCCTGATGGGCAGCGCTTTCAGCAGCTGCACGGAGCGCGCCTCTCTGAGGAGGGAGTGGAAGCCGAGCGAAACGCCGGCGAAGTTCTCTGCGGCGCTCACCTCGTAGAACTGACAGCTGTACTGCAGGGATAGCTCGTGGCCGTCGTCCACGCAGATTTGTCTGGAACACACAACGGGGAAAATGTTGAACATCCTATACATAATCCGTGTGGTGAGAATATAGAAAAAATAAGTGGAAAATGTTAGGTTGGTGAGCATATCAACAAAATTAATAGTGATTATTTATCACAATATTCCACTGTGTTTGGCTCGGTGATCAAATGAAGGTGAACAATAGCGTTATGTGAAAGTATTGCTGGTCGTGATTATTCAAAAACAAGTTATTCAATCAATCAGATCCCGAGAATGGATGAAATACAGATCAAGCAAGTCTGTGAATCTTGAAGGCTTTCCTGACCAAAACAAGAATACTTAACTATAATAAGGTGTATCCAGCTTGGGTATGGAATGCCAAATATGCCAAAATCGGGAACAATTGATCAGATATGCGTCCCAATCCAAATAACCAACCATAACAATGCTGTTTATTCTTATGACTCAGTACATCCTTTCAAGTTACTATAGGAGCTTAAGTGCCACTCTATCTCATACGATCTAAAAGTGCTATCGAGCAACATACCTATGTTTGTGTCAGTAATAGAAACGTCAATTCAAGATTCAAGATTCAATTTGAATGACCCTGTATAGAGAATGGAATTAGGCATGCCAGTATCGTCGTGTTCGATTTCATCGAATATAATAATCGTTTTGATTTTGATCGATTACGAACTCATTACTGGCTGCCGCTTTCCGATAGGCATCTTGTTTGTTAAACGGACGACACGCATCGAACCTCCTATCGGGAGCGGTTTCTCTTTTTCGGTCTCCGACGGATATGCCATCTATAATGATGATGTGAGAGATGAAAGCGAAAGAAAATGCGTTCCCAAAACGCATCCCGAGATAACATCTCTTGTCGTTGGATATCGAGAATCACAACATATTGACTTTGGGTGTGTGTATATGCGTGAGAATTTTAGTTTTCATTCGTAATTTTGAATCAAGCAGCATTCACTTCCAGTCAGCTTCTTATGATCTATAAGGCACAGATCCGACCTGTCCTAGAATACTGTTCCCATATTTGGAGTGCAGCACCCAAACATACCCTGAAACTGTTGGATTCTGTCCAAAAAAGGGCAATTCCTCGCTCACAAACTCACTCACTTCTCTGGAACACCGTAGGAAAGTTGGCGATCTGGCTCTATTTAATAGATATTTTCACAGACGATGCTCTTCTGAAATATCAACAATTCTTCCTCCCTTGGCAGTCCCCGCGAGATTAACCCGTCGAGTTGAGGCTTCGCACCCCTTTGTGGTCACTTTAGAGACCTGCAACATTATATTTCCGTCCAACTGGAAAATTGCAAGAGTACAACCAGTTCCTAAAGAAGGCAAGAAGACCCTACCTAGCAACTACAGACCGATCGCACTGCTATCTATTATTTCAAAGATCATGGAGGAAGCTATCAACATCGAGCTCATGAAATACCTGGAACATTCAGGTATTATCAACGATAGGCAATATGGCTTCCGTCATCAGAGATCAACTGGTGACCTGCTCGCTCACGTATCACATATATGGCAGCAATCTATTGAAAAATATGGTGAAACCTTAGCCGTGGCACTTGATATCTCCAAGGCATTCGATCGAGTCTGGCACCACGGGCTCCTCGCCAAGCTTTCATTTCATGGCTTGCCTCTCCAGCTATGTTCTCTGCTAGCTAGTTTTCTCCCAAACAGGTCTCTCCATGTAGTGGTCGACGAAGTTTCATCTTTCATCTGATTCTCTTACCATAAATGCTGGTGTTCCGCAAGGATCAATTCTATTTCTACTCCATATCAACGATTTGTTGGAAGCATCTTCATGTCCAGTACACAGCTTCGCGGATGATAGTATACCCTCCATACCCCCTTCTCTTCCAGGGCTCCAATACGAGCCAGGCAAATCAGGAACGAACGAGAGAGAAATGTTGACAACATAAATATGGACTTGGCAACAAATCTCGAATGGGGATCCAATAACTTGGTGGATTTCAATGCAAACAAAACACAAGCATGCCTTTTATCTATAGAAAAGCCGATCTTACTGTGCCAAACATAAGCGTGTCAGGACTAACCATATCTTTGAAGACATCCATTCCGATGCTTGGTATTACTATCAGCAATAACCTTTCTTGGGAAAATCACGTGAGATCAATTGCGAACAGTGCATCCCAAAAACTTGGTTTTCTGTTTCGGGCCAGGAGCTATTTCACTTCCAGTCAGCTGCTTATGATCTATAAGGCACAGATCAGACCTGTCCTGGAATACTGTTCCCATATTTGAAGTGCAGCACCCAAACATACCATGAAACTGTTGGATTATGTCCAAAAAAGGGCAATTTAAAAAGAACACCAATTCCTACCTTATTTCTCTTGGTTCTCAGGATGTTCTCTGAACATTACAAGATATCCCTTTCCGTGGGAACCAGAACATAGAAAAAATATGGGTGATCTGGAATATATAAAAAACTTCGCACAAACGCTAAGATTTTCTCAAAATTCTTGATAACATGACATATTTTGTTTACATAGTGACTTCTTCAAGTGAATACTCCTCGGAATACTCTCTTCATAGATCTCCGCTCGTTTCCCGAGAAATGCTATCAACATCGAACATCAACTTTTCTATCGATTATGGTTCCCAAAACGCATCAAGCAACCTGAGATAACATCTCTTGTCGCTGGATATTGAGAAGATCGACTTTGGGTGTGCGTAGTACGTATGCGTGAGAATTTAATTTTTTTATATGTTATTTCGAATCAATCGGTGACTGAAATATGTAAAAACCTCGAGAACGATAAGATTTACACAAAAAAACAGTAGCTCATTCAAGTGGGATACTTGCACTACAAATTAACCTAACACTGATTTGAGAGGGAATTTAATCTTCTGAAGTAGAGAATTTGCATTCTCCTTCATGAAAAGATATGCACATTTCAATTTTCATTTCAATACTAAACATATTGGTGAATCATATGTTTATATCATATCACATCATATTATTCTATTCGATTTGAGAGATAATGTCAATTCTCAATCTCAGAGGATTTTGATTCTTCATGGTCTCTTTTTGGATATTCAACAGATATAATTCAATGTTCGACGTGGCAAATAGCCAGGAAAGTAGTTGTTTTCTGTTGAATATTCAGATATTATGTGCATATCTTCATATGAAATAGAATGCAAATTCTCTACTTCAGAAGATTTTGTTTTCGAATTCTTATCGTGTGTGTTCAATAGATATAATTCAATGTTCGTCGTGGCATATAGCCAGGAAAGCAGTTGTTTTCTGTTGAATAAACCGAGAAAGAATTAATATTCTCATCACATGGAGAATGCGAATTCTCAATGTATTTCTTTATTTATATATTCATTTTTTTGTGTTCATAAATATATCTGAGAATATTCCTTTTCAATGTATAAGTAGTCATCATTTCTCCCACCATTTTCATATTGATTGTTCTTGATTTTTTGAGTTCTTCCAATCGTTTTTCGCAAATTGTTTCCTTCCTTCTGTAGTGATATTCTCCACTGAGACTCGTTGGAAAGAAAGTTTTTATGAGTGTTTTTGATGCCGGAAGGATTGTTGTATCAGTTGTACATGGCTCTTTGGCACAATGATCCACTGCCCATACACACAATAGCCTGTTCAATAATTTATCTCATTTAAAGATCAAAATAATTAATCATCGCTTGTGCTTTCTTTCAGGAGATCGCATTGTGATTGAATCGATTACTAGTGACATTGTTTCGGTCACGAATTTTATTGTGCAATTATAATTATTGGCAGCATCGCTCCCATAGACTATTCATGAAATTTCACTCTGACAGGTCGGCAATTCATCATTTCTGGTGGTTTCAGCGTACAGTGTACGAATCAAGAAAGGTTCCCACATGTCTTATTTCGAACATTGTACAAATGCTGCTTGAGGTTGAAAATATGATTACAGTTGTTTCATGTCAACTCATATGATTCATCGTGATGGCGAAAGATGTAAACTTTGACTCACCTGGAATGGTCTAGGTCCCTTTTATTACCCAAAAGCAGACTGGTATAGTAAGTGGGTAGCTTCAATTTAACTAACTGTCCCAGTATTTCCTGGGCTTCGTGAAAACTGTGCCTGTCCACAACAGAGTAGACTATGACGAAAGCCTCTCCCCAACGTATGTGCTCGTAGAAACATCCATTTTTCTGAAACAAAAGTACATTATTTTTCTCAATTTCAAAATTTGGCAACACTGCAGTCGGTACGTAGTTTGTGAAGCAACTAGAGATGGTGCAACAAATAATCCTAGCCTGTGCGGGCAACTGCTTGACTTTTTCTTCATACTATATTTTTTAAGTAGGCGCGTGGCGCAGTTGACTGTGTGTTCGAAGGTTCATTCAGTCCTAATAAGGTTAGATTGTTCAGAAAGAAAGAAAAGGTGGTCTCTGTCACGCAGAAAGGATATGTTCCTTCTTCCGCTGTAACGTTCCCCCACCTCATGGATTATTTGTTGAGCCCTATCTCTACACGCTAGTCGTAGTTTGGGTCAATTATATCAAAAAACTTGATGGTGGTGACTTGAGAAAGATAGTGTAATTAATTATTATGACTTATATTCTTCTGTATCAAATATCCAAGTTTGTCCCGCGCATCGTTGTGTGATCTGCACTCGCGCTGTAACGTTCCCCCACCGCGTGGATTATTTGTTGCACCATGTCTCTAGACGCTAGTATGATAGCGATAACTTGATGGTGGTGATTTGAAAATAAAGTTGGTGTAATTGACTATTTTTTTTATCCATGTCAGTTGATTGATTGATTGATTAATAGCAGAATGATAAGTCAGGGATCGAAGCCCAAAACACTGCAGCCTTTGGGCCTATTATATTCCTGATCATGCTGTTGACTTAGGTGAACAGGTTCGCTACCTTGATAAGGTTTAGCAGCCTCTTCACTAAATCCTTCTTTGGAAAGTCCTCTTGAGAGTTTACTGCTCCCAGAAGGTTGTATCTCCAACGCGCTAGTGCTTCGCACTCCAATATTACATGGATGGCAGTTTCCTCCTCCTCATTGCATAGTCTGCATATGGGTTCGTCATAGACTGTGGTATAGATGCCCATGTGATGCATATGTTTCCTCAAGAGGCAGTGACCGGTTAATAGTCCCGTCACTTGTCTGATCTGACTTCTGTTTAGGCTTAGAATGTCGTTAGTCACTGTTTTGGACAGTGTTTCAACCATCAGTTTACTGTGTCTTTGTCCTGGGACATTGTTCCAGTATGCCTGATGTCTTTCTCGAATCCACCTTGCCAGCCAGCCGTGTATTGAGGTTTTGGGAATACCGAACACAAGTTCCGGTCCCATAAACAACGCCGCAGACCCTTGCCTGACAAGAGCGTCAGCTGCTTCATTGCCTTCAATTCCCTTATGCCCTGGCACCCATTGAAGAGTCAGTTGATAACAGAGTCTTATTCAAATATTTGGCTGAAATTCGAGGGGTGATTCTTTGGATGATTCTAAGTCGCCCAGAAAAGCATTGTTTTCAAGATACAGAGTGTCAAACTTTTCATTAATACTTCCATAGAGGTTTTTCGCGGTATTTACGAAAAAAATTTTTTCGAAAAAGGATTAGCGTAATACAAACTGATCATAAGAAAATAGATTGAGCTCTGCTACAATGATATTTTGCTAGATGATCAGACCATCTTATTCCAATGGAAGATATTATTTCAACTTCAGCTCGAAAGAGACTGACACTGATAAATTAATGATTCCTATATGTGCACCTATTATAGGCGCCTGGTTTTTCATCTATTTTTTGCTTAATCATATTACAGGTCACGTTTCAACGCATTTTATGCTGTTATACGCTATAAAAAATAATGAATAAACACCTAGCTGAATTAATGAAAATTCTCCAATCCCAGCAGAGAATTTATCCATATTTCTGTCACTTTTTATTACAGCCATACTTCGAGTTTACTTACAAAGTTACACCCACAAGGCTAATAATTATGTGTTTTATGGTATGATTAGTGACATACATGAGGGAATACGTGTTGATTTCATTTTGAGAAATCTTTTATCATCAATACGCATCTGATTAGAATTAGACTCATTTGAATGTAAATGCAATCAAGGCATACCTACCATTTTTATTTTTGACATACCATAATGATTTCTCTTAACATGATTGGTAGTCTGCCAGAGCGCTTCACCTATACAGGATGATTTCAAGAGATATTAATTATATGATATTTTGACAACAAATTTTTTGTTTTTATGTTCTGGTTTCCATGAAAAGGGATATACAGTAATGTTCAGAGAACATCGTGAGAACCAAGGAAAATAAGGTAGGAATTGGTGTTCTTCTTAAATTGCTGGAGGTTATATGCCTCGGGGAACACCTCCCTTGGCAATGTGTTCCAGAGCCTCGCTGTTCGTTGGATGAACGAGTCTTTGGAAAGAGATGTTCTGCAGGTCTCCAAAATGTCCACGAAGGGGTGCGAAGTCTCAACTCGACGGGTTAATCTCGCGGGGACTGCCAAGGGAGGAACAATTGCTGATATTTCAGAAGAGTATCGTCCATGGAAATATCTATAAAATAGAACCAGATCGCCGGTTTTACGGTTTTCCAGAGGGGTGAGTGAGTTTGTGAGCGAGGCATCACCCACGAGACGAATTGCCCTTTTTTGGACAAAATCCAACAGCTTCTGGGTATGTTTGGGTGCTGCACTCCAAATATGGAAACAGTATTCCAGGACAGGTCGGATCTGTGCCTTATAGATCATGAGCAGCTGAAAACCAAGTTTTTGCGATGCACTTTTAGCAATTGATCTTATGTGATTTTCCCAAGAAAGTTTATTGCAGATAGTAATACCGAGCATCGAAATGGATGTCTTCAAAGGTATAGTTACTCCTGACTAGCTTATGTTGGGCACAGTGAGATCGGCTTTTCTAGAGAAAAGGCATGCTTGTGTTTTGTTTGCATTGAAATCTACCAAGTTATTGGATCCCCATTCTAGAATTGTTGCCAAGTCCATATTTATGTTGTCAATATTTCTTCCTCGTTCGTTTCTGATTTGCCTGGCTGGTATTGGAGCCCTGGAAGAGAAGGCGGTATGGAGGGTACTGGAATTGTAGTTTTTATGATTCAATTTGAATTGAGATAATCCCTCTCATAACAAAAATGAATTTATAAAAATTTCAATATGTTTATTCCGAATTTGAAGTTGAATAGTTTAACAAGTATGGTGCTGTAAATATAATCAACCATAGTCACCAATATCAACAATGTTTCTGTTACTTTATTTTCTATTTTCAAACATAATTCAAGACCTATAAGAAAAAGATAGCTCGCTCATTACATAAAATAAATCACAAGCTATATTTCATCCGTGTGTCGATAGATTGATTGGAAATGAAAATGAATCAGGGCCATTACAACGTTATTATATTAATTAGAGGCTAATAACAGCATGCAAGAAAATGTTATTCAACCTGTATCATTTTGTGTTCTATATTTAGACCCCTCACCGTTATTATGTGTGTTATTTGTCGAGATTATTACAGTGTCACTCATTCGCGACTAGCTATATGATAGTTTTAACGACACCATAAATATGAATACAGATTATGATTCGTAGCTGTGCAGTTATCGCGAAGTTATGGCCAGCTTATAATATTGCCACAAAAAATAAAGCTAGTTCTTTACAGGGTGTGATGAATTAACGAACGGATTGGAGACATTCTTTATAATCACGAATATGAATTTCCATATTCATCCCTATCAAAATGAAATTCCAGTACACAGCTTCGCTCCAGGGCTCCAATACCAGCTAGGCAAATCAGAAACGAACAAGGAACTAATTTTGACAACATGAATATGGACTTCGCAACAATTCTCGAATGGGGATCCAATAACTTGGTAGATGCCAATGCAAACAAAACACAAGCATGCCTTTTCTCTAGAACATGAGCTTTTCAGGAGTAACCATACCTTTGAAGACATCCATTTCGATAATTGGTATTACTATCAGCAATAACCTTCCTTGGGAAAATCACGTTAGATCAATTGTTAAAAGTGCATCCCAAAAACTGGGTTTTCTGTTTCAGGCCAGGAGCTATTTCACTTCCAGTCAGCTGCGTATGATCTATAAGGCACAGATCCGACCTGTCCTGGAATACTGTTCACATATTTGGAGTGCAGCACCCAAACATACACTGAAATTGTTGGATTCTGTCCAAAAAAGGGCAATTCGTCTCGTGGGTGATGCCTCGCTCACAAACTCACTCACTTCTCTGGAACACCGAAGGAAAGTTGGCGATCTGGCTCTATTTTATAGATATTTTCATGGACGATGCTCTTCTGAAATATCAACAATTGTTCCTTCCTTGGCAGTCCCCGCGAGATTAACTTGTCGAGTTGAGGCTTCGTACCCCTTCGTGGTCACTTTGGAGACCTGCAGAACATCTCTTTCCAAAGACTCGTTTATCCAACGAACAGCGGGGCTCTGGAACACATTGCCAAGGGAGGTGTTCCCCGAGGCATATAACCTGCAGAAATTTAAGAAGAACACCAATTCCTTCCCCATTTCCCTTGGTTCTCACGATGTTCTCTGAACATTACAGGATTTCCCTTTTCTTGAGAACCAGAACATAAAAAAAGATGACAGTCGAAATTCGCAGCTGGCTCTTGGACTAATTCATTTTTCACTGTGTATCGGTATAAATAGAATAGAATGAGTCTGAAGTCTGAAGAAAACGAATCCGGATGCTATATACATGACATGCTACTCGATCCGCACAGATCTGAGTATCTGGTATACTAGTTTGCTTAATGATTCCTCTAGACGAGTGTAATTACATAGGTATGATAATGAAGGCGCCAGTCAGTCATATCTTGACCGCCGAGTGACAGGTGGTAGACCGCAAACGAATTGCCAAAGCAAGCTAACTAGATGAAAAAATATCGAGAGGCTATGTCTAACCTAACCTAACTAGATGGGCATAATCAGATGCACGATTGGAAACATGCATATGGTTCATTCTTCAAAACGGAGCCAAAAGGTTGCGTGGACAGAAACTCCATGGACATCAACTCCATTTCTTTCGATGTCCATATTCATGAATTTCATAACACATATTTTTTATTTTCCAGACAACTCTATATATACCGTTTTATATATAGAATTGATGTTCTTGAAAGCACATATGGTATATTTTCTGGATCATTTTTATGTTGGTCAACTCCATGAAATCTTCATTTATTTCATGAAGGTACTATATAATATTCAATATTTAGTTGATCAAAACAATTAATACTCTAATGGGATTGTTATTATTCATTATATTCGAAGAAATTCCGTATTTTTGTTAATATTTTCAACTCCATAGGCAATATCGTAAATTCCATGGGAAGGGTATTTGGTTTTTTCAGCATAAATCGATGAAAAATTATCGAATTCTTGGCCAGTTCAGTATGAGATATATTATGTTCAAATACGTTAACTGAATGGAGGTTTAACCGAGTTTGAATCATTTTACATGTTTAATGAATATCCTTGTCAATTTGTCCCCGTCTTGAAGAATAACCCATATATGTTGTACAACAATGGTGTGAAATCCATTCGAAAAACGACTGGCTACTTTACCTACATGTTCTGACTTCAATAACAGACGTTTTGATATACAAAAAAGGTATAATTGAGACAAATTGAATACCTTTGATATCAGCAATTGCTCGAATCTTGAGATGATTATTGAAAAAACAATGACCTGTCAAACCATGCACTGGTTGTTACACAATGAATTCATTTATGTGTGATAAATCTTTTTTATATGAGAATTCCTATTGGTATAAGATATAGAATCAAAGAAAATCACAAACAGTAAGTTTTTAATGATTCTAGTAACATCATTCTATTGATTTTATAGTGCCAACCAGGCGCCATATTGATTCTAACCTCAGTTAGATTACCTAATTATCCATGGTGACAATGACCTTCGATGGTTTGACGTGGGCAATTTCGTCAATCATAATTAAATAATATGTCTGCTATAAGTCTCGTCAAAGCGATGAATGAGTTATGAAAAAAATATCCTTTCGTCATGGAAAAGAAAGATGAGTCTTTTGTTACCTTGACAAAGAGGGATTCATCACACTTGAGCCGATAACAACCGGATTCTGTAAAAAGGTGAATGTGTAACAAATTTTTCAAGTACATGTTTTATAACCGGAACAAAAGGAAGGCTGATGGTAATACAAACATAAGCAATAAACCACAGCCAACTTTCTCCGGGCTATGACGACTTTTTTCTCGCTTACACAACTTTTCAGTTGTTTTCTCGGAACAATGAAATTAAGGGGTTGAGAAAAAAGCCATACATTGGATGATCCATTGAAGCATTGTTTTGTCCAGAAATATCCACACATAATATACGGTAGGTGGGTCAATCAGGTTGTACTGAAATATGATTTCTGACATTGAATGTTCTTGTAGACGTTGTTCAGAAGTTCAACATGTTTGGCCCGAGTCCGCTAAGAAAAATAATACTGACGAGCTTCGGCCTGGTACCTAGTCAATTTTTTATGTTGGGAAATTAGTCCAACGTCGTACCACATCGAGTCTGGGTTAATAGATGTGGACAGCTTTTCATTAATATTGATGAGTGCGATATTTGAAATTCATATTTGAATTTCAGCACATTAATTTCACTTGATTCTGTCCGAAGACAAGAGACTTGAAATTAATACTTTTCTAGTTTTTGCTGATTTCTTTTGAATTAATTCATCACGGACACTAATTTTTCACTTCAATGAGTTGAATATTGAAAACGGGTCTTTGAATGTATAATTGATTATGATTTGCAGAAAACAAAAAAATATATTCGAAAACAAGTATATGAAAACAACGCGGAAAAGATTATCATAGATTGTATTCATCGTGAGACGGTGAAACCAAAATAGCAGAAAATGATAATAGCAAATAAGTTCAAACATTTAGCGTTATATGTCAGTTTCATGAACAATACTTCCTGATGATGGAAATAGAATTATACGAATGCCTTGGATTAATTCTAAAAAAGATCGTTTTAAATTGCTGCTACCCAAATATACAATGGTTTGGTTGGTTGATTTTCAACTAAGAAGTTATATATTTTTTGAAGGCATCCATCTTGATATAATGCTTTATAGGCAGACTATCTCTCTATCAATCAATATGCATTGCAAAGGTGTATTATGCATTGAACAATTGACGATGTTTTGAACTGAACAAACGAAAATCTACTCGACATTTCTGTCATTATGATTTTGTATTGGTATCATTGTAATATAATGGTTTAAGGAGTAAGATTGGAATATACATAGATTTATGAGATGGTCGAAATGGAAATTGTTACTCCTGGAAACTGATGAAAAAATTTGGACGGCCTTATATGGGTGGGTATATAGACACCAACGCAGCATTATGGAACCGATATATTATACCTCCCACGGGACGTAAAATCATTTATTCCTCCCTTTGGAGCTTTATTTTCTGGAATGAGGAAGGAGACACCTATTTTCGATCCAATGAGTAAATAAAAGTTCACATGGCTAGTAATAGAATTTAGAGGTTTAGGCGCACACAAGCTTGATTGTGGTTCCGAATTTATTGAAGCACCCTCGTAGCGTAGGACGTCTATTGCCTATTTTTAGACGTCGCGACGCCAGTATGCTTCCCAAGCGACGCCTGAATCATCTTCGTCTTTCTGTGCTCCTGCTGATATTTTCTCGAAGCTAAACTCAAGTTTCAGTTTCAGCGATTCAGCTGCTCGAAATAGCATTGCACGGGTAGATGAAATACGCGGAAATACATTTTTCATTTCATCTAAATAAATCAGACTCTATATCGCCTGAAATTGATTCAACTTAACTGTGAGACCGTGTTTTTTACAATAAAGGTTATGTCGAAATTCATATGGTGAATGACAATCAAAAATGTTCTGATGACGCTGATGAGTTTGTTTTCAGTCAGAAATAGAAAATGGATACTCACGTTAGTCATATCGTATATGGTTGTATTTTCCTGCGTTCTTCATAATATGAGATATGGCAACTATTGCAGAAACGAACTTTTAATTGATGAATTGAAAATTGTGTTTGAGAACCTTACAGTGTGAAACAAATCTAACCTCATTCGGAATTAACAGGATGTTTTCATTCAGGTACCTATTCACTGAACTAGATCTCATAACTGAGAGATTTAAGATGAATAGAGTTGGCCCAATTATCAGCAGGAGCAAATCAAATAGGTTCAAAAGGATGGTTTCGAAGAGAACACAGAAACTACGTTCTTCGTTTCTGTTGAACTCTCCATTTTCCAGTAAATAGTTATTCAATTCACAGATAAATATACAGTTTTCACCAGCCCTTTTCTAAAAAATCTTTCATAGCAAAACAGAGTTTTGAAGTTGAGAAGTAGCGGAGTAGGTGCGGATACACTCTGAAGCTTCTACAATAATTACTCTCTTCAAAAAGTAGTTAGGGAAAAAAACGACTTTAGTAGTTACGATATTGATGGTTCCTAATGCAAATTTGGTTTAAATAAGTTTCCAATATGTTATATGTTTGCAGTGACCAGTAATTAAATGAAGATTTATCATGCACCTATTTGTTTATTTAATTTGTATCGTAACACTGTAGCACGTAACAATTAACAAATACAATCCAGTTTTATAATGGGCCTAGTCCCATCATTTATTATTAATGACAACCGACTAGTGACACATGTTGCCAGTGTTGCCATCAGTCACTATTAACATAATTTTCAGTTTACAAAAACATAGAGCATAAAGTAATGATGTGACCCTGCTGCTCATATAAGAATTCATTTCACTGAGATACTTGAACTTTCAACTTTCTTAAGGTTCAACTAACATAAGTGAAACAAAGGAACCAAAGAAATTTCATAGATGCTTGTGAAACATCTACACTAATGTAGAATACAGTTTCAGTACGATGTTCGGAATGATCAAATCGCCATGGATCTGAAACCTCCTTCAATCGCGTGTCCGTCATTAGAGAACGAAACATCAGAACTTTCGAAAAAGCTGAGTTCAATGAGAATCAACTTCTTCGAAATGCAATTTTGATGTTGACTCAGGTGATCAATCGAAGTTTCAAAGCCAAAGACCGAGATTGTCCATAAACTCAACATTATGACCAAATTCAATCTTTTCAAGTTTTTGATTCAAGCTATAATAAGTATCATCTCAGAATGTATTTCTGAGACTTATTTGGGGTAGAAGGGCTGTTCGCAACAAACTACAGTACCGTTCTTATTTCAATTCATTTTTTGTTTCATGATATAGATATGAGGATAAGAGGGACTCTCCCTTCGTCTGAGTTAAATGAAAGATACATCCAATACTTCAATGAGTCTAATCCGATTCTGAAATTATTGTTTCGCCCTCGTACATCGACCCAGCGCACGCTCCGACCTGGAAACGCGCTCGGAAAACCGGAAAACTCCGTTGCGGCTCCTGAAAACTGCTGAAAAGCCGCGAACTTTCACGATTTCAGCGTCTCGGGTGCCAGGAGAACAGCAGCCAGCGAGGGTAGAGGCGTCATTTCAGCGACGGCCGCGGTAAAAATAGCGGCGAGGGCGGCAACAGGTGTCAAAAACATACGAGAATCGACAAACCATTATCGGCGCCCGCTTTGTGCAAGTATTATGCGGGGCACACGGCACACTTGTTGCTATCAGTAGTACGAAAGCGTAGAAAGACCACTATTGTGTGTATTTCATGTTGTCTCTGACTGGGGTAAGTTTTCTCCCAATGAATTTTCATGAAATAAGTTCGTAAGTCTCCAGTTTTATGTCCACGCTGTACAGAATGGCCACCGATAAAGTCGAAGTCGTTTTCATTTTCAAATTAAAGCAATTTCTAATTTTCGGGGTGGCAAACTGTGACGTATAATCTGAATCTAGTCTGAAAATAGATGATGGTGGAGAATATAGCTAGCGAATAGCAAACGAATAGCTAACGAATGAAAAACGAATGAAAAAAAATAGAAGAAGAAGTGAAACTTGTAAACAAAAACATACATAACCACAAATGCACTCGGAGCAGGAATGCAGAAGGTAGTTGGCTTCATTCTGGCAGGTTTTGTTATTAATGCATTGAAATATCTCGAATAGAGCTCGAGCCTGAACGAAAATATCATTGAATGAATGAATCACTATCGGCTACATTCAATGATACTATCCTTCCTAATTTACTGCCATCGGTCAGAACAGAATGAAGCCGACACCCATGACTCCTTCCTCTTGTTGTGCCTGTCAGTATTTTGAGTGGTGTGGACGGACTCGAAGTATTAGGCGCTGTTGCAAGATATAATATGCAACTTTCCTAGAAAATAGATCCGTTTTATAAAGGAACGAATTCATTAGCAAAAAAATGACTGACAAGTTATGAATAACATATTGTAATATAACGATAGTGAAAAATTATGGATACTATCGCAAATTATCAAAATTTATCTTTATTAGTATTCAATTTCATTCAGCCAATGAGAGATCAATGGGAATTATTCATAATACTTGACAAAGTAGGATTGAAGAAAGTTATTATGTATTCAAAGAACAATTTCCGGAAATCTAAACATATTTATGATGTCGGCAACGTCATACTGGCACAGGGAATCGTATTCTAACTCTGTGTGAATGTAGATTTTCAGAAAGTTCGTCAGAAAGTACATGAGAAAGTACGTATAGGAATTGTGGAGGAGCTAAGTTGAAAGTACATGTTTATATGAACATTTTCATTATTTTAACGAGTACAACAAACTGTTGAATTTTTTGTATCACAAACCGGATCACCCTGTATAATATGTGTCACTCAATCGGCGTTTTCACTTATTCCAAAACGTAGGATAGATTGCTTGCACTAATAATCTTTTTCCGTATTTTCGATTGATATCAGTAGGCAGATACCGCCCGCAGTGGCGTACGTAAAAGACATAATTTATTAAACAGGAAGTAGACCGGAGGAAGGTATTAATCATTTCGTTAAGACGGCTGCAACTGTTTCTATGAAATATGATATCGAGGAAGTCTGAGGGTGGTACAAATTGATGATTTCAGTTCGATATTTTCACTTATATTATGATCGAAAGATAGTCCTGCTCAGTGCCCATGGTTATGGGTGCAGTCTTTTGTTGGGAAAATAAATATAGATCAATTCATAACCTGAAATTCGTTGATGATGATTTTCATGAGAATCATTTTTGGTTCCCACGAAGAGGGATATTTTCTGTTATGTTCGTAGTTACAAGCAAAATGAAGAACAAATTATTATATCCATCCATGCATGCAAACTCAAACAAACGAAATACTCGTATACATGATAAAAACATTGGACAGCAACGATTTCATCGTGATAATTTTGTCAACTAAAATGAGGTTTTCTATTCGTATTTTTTTCTATAATCATTGGACATTGAGTTGAATTCCAGTATTTTGCACTTTTTTATCAAACAAATTATACTATTTCGTTTTCATGATGCTCAATAATAGCTAGAACTTAAGTTCAATCCGGGTATGAGTTTTTTTTTGTTCTGGTTCCCACGGAGAGGGATATCCTGTAATGTTCAGAGAACATCGTGAGAACACTGAGAACCAAGCGAAATAAGGTGGAAATTGGTGTTCTTCTTGAATTTCTGAAGGTTATATGCCTCGGGGAACACCTTCCTAGGCAATGTGTTCCAGTGCCTCGCTGTTTGTTGCAGAACATTCTTTATTGAAATATGTTTAACACCAATGTTTCTGACACAACGATGAAACCCTTCTGGTATAGGTTATCTTCTTAATAATATGGAATTAACCATTTGAGTCTCTCAAATGATTTGTCTACCATATAGGAGACCATGAATGTTCTCCTGGTTTCTCAATTGCATATGCAACTAGTGATTTGAAATGGAAGTAGTAATCAAGCTCTCTAACAATTTTCCTAAAAACGATACAGACGCGTTATAAAAAGCTAGGTGTGATAGCCTAGATATTACCTTGCGAACTATCGTTGGAAACATATTAATTACTGACACATGATGTGGAATTAGCTAATCATATGTAACCAAGAGGAGAAAAATTACACTTAATTCATACACCGTCGAGATTCTTGACGTTTCTCAAATGCGATGAATCGAAAAAAGGCGTATAACTCGCACTAGAAGCGATTGGCAAATGGTGATTAGATATGACATTTTCACACCTACCTGTTTCATAAATTTCACATCCAATTTGCAAATATGTTGATGTTTTCGCATCGGCAGTTAAATGAACTTTTTTTATAGAACCTGTTGATATACCTACGTTATTAGCGCTATCACCAGTCAGCATATCATACTAAATACTGGTTTTTAATATTGTGAATTATTTCACTGTACAATACATTTTTTTTGTGAAATATTTCAGACTGTCTTACAAAATACAGCCATTAGTCGTTTAAAATGGTCTGTTCAGTGACCCAAAATTTGTCTGCCTGTCATAATGACGCTAATTTGCCGAATAAATCGAGAACTCATTTGTTTCAATTGGTTCTTTGTTTGCTTCTGGTGGAGGTATGTGGATTCTTTAACAGTCCTTTCTCAACGAAGACGTGAATTTGAGGCAATAGAATATACACTTGTATATTATGACCTTTTGGTGATTTCCTATGCCGCATTTCATGTCTCAACGACGTCACATTGATGTTCCTTGAATCGGACATTTTTACATCGCCACGGTGTATCGGTAACATGTTTGTGACTTCAAATGCGATATCGCATGTCTCAAAGTGATGTCGAGTATATATCATTTATACATCTCATGGTTGACTGGGTTATGATTTTATCTGCATCCTGCTTTCCTTATATTTTTGTAAGTACTAGAAATGTTCAAACATCAGGAATTTTTTTATTATAAACTTGAAAGAAAAGTGGATATTGACAGAAATTTAAAAAATGTCACTAGCTTACTGAGAATGTGGCCAATTAGGGCAACTTCCGCTTTTTTTCAATGAGCAG